ACTGACTGTAGGCACGGCCATGTGTTTTTACCCAGATACTCATATTCAACATCCCCACTCCCTTTCGTAAAGGAGAGAGTGGAGTCTGTTATCTCATTCATCTCCATGAGTTTTCTCTGTGTTATGAGAAAGATTTTTCTGTATGGCACAGAAAAATCATAAGGAGAAAGAAAACCGGGCCTCAGAAACATGTTCTGCTTGCTCCACTGGCCCCACACATTCTGTTTGGATTGATTGCCTACTACAGCCTGTGAGCTTTTGTACATCAAATTTCAAAACAGAAACGTAAAAGAATGAACATGAAATGAGCAGCTCGATTCTGCCCTCCGTGCTGAGGGACATGTGTTCTTGAAGCATGGGGGAGAGGGGACGTCTTATCTCTCCTGCCTACCTTGTCTCCTGGGCTCCTGGCGCTGGCTCTACTTGTGACTTGGACAACAGGGTGGGGACAGAAACATTTCTTCTGAGCTGAGGAGTGTGCTGGGTGCCAGAGGGTCCCTAGAAATAGAGAATTCAGGGCTTAAATTCATGATGAGATTTCCCACAAGATTCAAGATGGAATTCAAACGTGGAATTCAAACCAAAGGAATTGCTGAAAAAGTAGATATCATATCTAAATGCTAATGGAATGCAGACAGTGATACTCTGTAGAGTGCAGTCTTAAAGTGACAGTCAGAAATTTTGAAATAAGAGGTAAGCAGGTTTACAGATAAGGGCGTTGTAGCTGAAGTTTAGCATCATTAAGTCTGAATTCCAACTTTCTCATTTTTTTTTCTCATTAACTGTTGAAGGCAGTTACCATCTACTTAATCATTCCAGCCAGAAACTTAATTTCTCCTACCTCACCCAAACCTACTGGTCACTATAATCTCCTGATGTTTTCTATTAATTATATCAAGGTAGGGTCCTCTCTGGGCTTCTCAACTTCCTTGACAGGTTTTTATCACTGTTACTTGGAAAATTGCACAAACCCAACTATGTTCCTTGTCTTTTGCTTCTTCTCCCTTCTCAGATTCTTTCTTCTCAGTGCCCTGGAAGCGTCTTTCTGGAAGCAATTGTGTTACCCTCTTACTTTAAATACATTATAGATCTCAACTCCTTTTAAGTTTATAATCAAACTCCTCAAAATGCCATTCACGGTCTATCATAATCTGGTCCCTGAATGTAATGTTATTTCTTGTGCGGCACCTACACCTGCCTGGTTCCTCATCCTTCCCCTTCTACTGGAAGTTCCTAAATGATTCTAGTTCTTTCGTGCTTGTTGCACAAACTTTCTCCTTTGCTTAGAACATCTCTGCTACAATGCCTGTATTAGTTAAGATACTCTAGAGATATAGCATCAATAGGAAAAAGTATATGCACACATAATTATGCAAAGGCATTTATTAGGTAAGTTTATAGGATCAGAGGTAGGACAGACCATGACGGCTGTCTGCTGGAGACATCGGTGGGGAACTAGAGGGTCCAGTAGCTGCTTAGTCCACAAAGCTAGAAGCTGCAGAACAAGAGAGATCCAGGATGCAGTGCCAGACCAAGACTGAAGGCCTGGAAGCCCCTGGAGAGCCACTGGCGTTAGGCTCAGTTGAAAGGCTGAGGAGGCTGAAGTCCGATGTCCACAGGTGATGGCAGCAGCAAAAGTTGAACTTGCTCAAGCAGAATTGAGCTTGACAAACTCAGGCCAGCTTCCTCTTCTTCCTCCTCTTATTCCTTCTGGGCCACAAGCTTATTAGATAATGCTGGCCACAGTCAGGGTGGGACTTCCTCAGTCTTCTGGCCTACATGGTGGTCGTCTCTGGAAATAGCCCACAGACACACCCACAGGTGTGCTTTACTAATCTGCTCTGCCCCCCCCGCCCCTCCCCCCTCCCCCCCCTTTCCTTCCCTTCCCTTCCCTTTTTTCTCCTACAACACTGGAGATTGAACCTAGGGCTTTTGTACTGAGCTATGCCCTCAATCCTTTTTTATGTCTTATTTTGAGGCAGAGTCTCACTAGTTTACTAAGATGCCCAAGGTGGGCTTAAACTTGTGATCCTCCTGTTTCAGTTTCCCGGAGTGCTGGGCTTCCAGGCATGTGCCACCATGTCTGGCTCTGCTGAACAATTTTTAATCTAGTCCAGCTAACATATCATGATTAATGGTCACATTCCTGCACTTAGTTCTCCTACATAGTCTTCAAGATGAAGCTCTTGCATCACCAGGGAAGCTTGCTTGGATGACCCCAACTGCACTTTCCTGCCTGAATAAGGGTGTTCACATCCTGTCACAGTGCTAATCACACAGCATGGCTTTGGTGGCCAATGGGTTTGGTGAACTCTCCTGGAGCAAGGGCTGAGTCTTGCATATCTTTATCCAAGACCCAATAATGTGTTGTGTGGAGCAGAGACTTCATGAAGATTACTTAAAGAGTGAATGTCAGAAAGCCACATTAGCAGAGTCAGCAAGGTGTGAATTGGACATGAAATCTTGGAATGCCAGAGCCAGCAGAGACCTTCTACATTTTCAAGTTCCACACTCTCATTCTAACTCATGATGAATATGGAGTGTAGAGAGAGGAAGAGTCTTTCCAAGTTTATACAGGTAAGATTAGTTGAAACAGGCAGTTTCTAATAGTACAGCCCTGAAAGAGGGAACAAAGTAGGTCATGGAAATGAAAATAACCAAAGTCTAGCATTAGTTAATCAAGATTATTAAGGACACAGGAGAGAGTGATCTCACTGAACATGAACCAGATCCAGTTGGGTACTGAAGCTGGTTGACTCCATAGACCCATGTGATTCCTACTTCTAGGCAGACAGAAAGAGGCTACAAGGCATATAGGTGAATGAGGCTTGGGTGTAGACAGATTCAGTGAGGTAGAAACTGGATCCCCTGTCAATTTTGAGGAGTTTCCTCCTACGACAATCTTTCTTGATGGCTGTGACTCTGCCCCGTACATCAGAGCCCAATATATCTTGAATAATTGTGTTTTATGACTGTTATTGGGTGGAAGGTGACAGCAACCTAGAGAAGGAATGAGCTTTGTATGAAAGTGTTTGTGAGCTGGTCCAGGTGGGCCAGAGGAACTGTCCTAGGGAGTTAGGAGAGTGAGCCTGATTAGTGCTGGAAGACACTGAAAGTCGGGTTGAGTAATTTAGATTTGTTGCTATAGGGAATAGGGAGGGCTCTTACCCTGGAGAATGGTTAGTTTCAACCTCGGTCCTTTTCATAGCTGGGAGACTTTATTTATGCTTGTGTTCTTTTTGTTTGCAATGTTCTTTTCTCTAGATGTTCTACAGCTTGCTCTTTTACCTCCTCAGGTTCCTGCTCAAAAGTCATTTGGCCAGAAAAGCCTATCCTGATCCCTCTATTTGAATTTGCCACACTCTCAATACCTAGGAGAATATAAGTTCCTTGGGGTCAGTTACTTTTGTCTTCCTTGTTCATTCTTGTACTCTGGTTCTAAAATATTTCTTGGCACAACATTGATGCTCAAGAAACGTGTGGAGTAAATAAAGGACTATACACTTGGACATTATTGGTATGGAGAGTCAGTTTGCTCTATTCTCCTGCCTTACTTTGCAGCAAGATTTCAGCAAGAAGGCCCAGGATACACTTGTGAGATTGCCACTTTATCTTGATTGCACTATCTCCCGTTCTGAGTTTACTCCAACATCTATGGCTTACCTTTGCCTGTTGTTATGTCCTATAAAAATCTTGACCATATAGGAAGGTAACAACATGAAGATTCTTCCTCACAAATTATACTTAAACCCACAGACCCTATGTTAAGTTAATTAAGAAGGCATCAATGAGCAGAGTGAAGAAGTCTCCCCTCCTTGTCACTTTTGGTCTTCTGATGGTAAGAATTTTAGTTTCTTTCCTGACATAGAAGAATTCTGGGCAGAAAAAGAGTCTAAGTAATTTGAAAGCAAAGTCAACTGCTGTCCCCTCTACATCTATAACATGTCTCACAGTTCTGGGTCCTCATGTGAGCATTTAAGAAATACCTATTGACCTAAAGAAGGGAACAGTGGTTATGTCCTGAGAATGGGAGACTTTTGAGATGAGTATGTGTTCCAAATGATACCATGTGGCCAGCACCTGCTCTCTCTCCTGAGCCCTAGAAGAATGGAACATCTCTTCCCTTTCTAGTGTATCTTTGCCAAGCTTTGAGAGGAATGCATCTGCCTGCCAAACTTCAGGGCAAAGATTTGGACAGAGATCTATTTCTGATTTTTTTCATATCTGTATATATTTCAGTTATTGTAATCTTTCTAGAAAGCCATGACTTCACTGGGGATAATTCCCAAGAGTGCCTGGTGTGATGCATTCCCCACTGAAGTCTCCCTTGCTCACCTTTCCCAGCCTCACATGCTTGTGAGGCCCTCTGCCCTTTCCTTGGTGGTTTTAGCCTTGATTGTTCACTGAAGTTCACTCCAGTGACTTCTCTCTCATTGATTTAACATATTCATTGAGTCCTCCAATGTGCCAAGCACAAGGGATGTGAAGAAAATCAGCTCTGACTTCTGCTTTATGGTCTAGTGTGAGGGTGGACCTGGGATTAGATCCCCATAAACCAGCGTTCTGAGTACTCTAATATAGGATGGAAGAAGGCATTCAGGAATATGGGAACATGAGGGTGACACAATTCATTCTGCGTCGGGGACACAGAATGCTACCAAAGAAGAACAAGCTGAACAGGGACTCTCAATCTGTTTCCTTTACGTATATGACTATTGAGTACTTTTTGGCCTCAAAAATTTCTAAACACATTTCTCAACCCCTAGATCTTCAGTAGGCTGCCCATGTGACATTTCTGTCTCTTTCTGTCAGTTTCAGAGACTTAACCTGTCTCAGTCCCTCTTTTACCTCATTTCTCTCAGTGATACTTCACTGGTCCCTTGATATTTCCAGCCTTGCACTCAAGAGCCTATTTATTTTCTCCTGGGTACTTCAGGCATTTGCCAGGTGTGCAGCCATCTCCTCCACATTTCATTTCCTTTGATGACTCTCTCTCTAAGGTGGTGAGCTACGAAGGAGACATGGCATGTGTTCCCAGATGGGCCTAATGAGGTGCCAAGATCGCCAGTCAATCTCCCAGCCTTCCGGTCTGGGAAGGAGTTCAGGACTCTGTCGCTGCTTCTCTGTGGACTCCTGATCGGGCGTCTTGCTCTTGGATGGAACTGAAGACCAGAGAGGATCCCTTCTTGCTACATATCCTGACAAAGCAGTGTCCTAAGGTAATTCAACTCCTGGATGATAATTTTTCTTAGTAGAAGACGTAACAGCTGGTCCGAGAGGTGAAGCTTCCATGGGGGCTTGTCTTGGAGAAGAATGTCCTTGGCAGGTGTTTGCTGCACCTTTGAGAACCTTCCTAGAAAGGACAGAAGTCAGAGGCTCCTGCTTCAGATGACAGAATGGTCATAGTCCTGGAAGGAAAGATCTGATAAAGTGACTCTGGGTAGTGTAAAACCAAGGTGACTTTGGAAATTGAAACAAGGCACCTGAGAAAAGAGCTCTGTGGGACCTTAAATAACTAGATGTGTGAAGTTCTAGCTCATGAAGAGCTCCTTGGAGGGCTGAAAGGTCTGTAAGTCCCAACTTTGCCGTGCCAGGAGCAGGTGGAGTGGTCCAAGGCTTTGTTTTCTTTTCAGAGCACCCAGATGTCCAGGTTTCAGTCCCTGGTTAAAACGGTGCTGCCTACTGTGCCTGTGGTGGACACACCTGAGCACAGGTCAGAATCTCAGTGAACACATGAAGCAGGCCTGGTTTATCCCTCTACTTGACACTAAGTCGGGGAGCTTGGTAGGAAGGTGCTGGTATGTTGGTGGGAGGAGAAAGTGTAAGCTGCAATTTTGGAAGGATTCACTAACTCTGAAGCATGATGTTGGGCTTCTCTGAGGTCCCAGGGCCAGGAGAGCATTTAATCCTTGCCTCAGATGGCTTGGAGCTGTGCCATGCTAAGGAATTAATAGAGAGAGGAAATTAAATACATACTTTTTAACAGCGAAGAACATTCTCAGTTTCGTTAGAAGGACAGGTCTTGGAGTCGTGAGCTCTCTACCCTAGCCCAGGCCTGACCATTGGGCCTTTGTGGCCTTGAGCAAGCCCCTCAGTATCTCTTTCAGTAGACGGAGAGGGCTGCTTCATTCAGATCATGAGGTAAAATGGTCTGCACCAGACATGCCTGCTCCTTTCCTAGGAGAGCTTTTGACTGATTTCTCAAGGTTTAGGCACAAGGGCTGGAGAAGTAGAACTGCTCCTTGACTTATGATGGTGCTATGTCCCAGTAATCCCATGGGCAACTGAAACTTTTAGAAGTCCAAACTGCATTTAATCCACTTCACCTACTGAACATCAGTGCTTAGCAACACAGCACACTGTAGAGTATCAGTTGCTTCCCTTATTTTGTGGCTGATGGGAAACTATGTGTTGCTGTCCTGTTCAGCATGGCAAGATAGTATCATTCCATGCATCTGTATCTCAACAAAAGAACAAAATTCAAAGCATGGTTTCTACTGAATGGGTATTGCTCTCACACCATCATAGGGCTGAAAAATCACGAGCTGAACTATGGCTAAGTCAAGGACCATCCATTAAGGCCAATAGAAACATAATGACAGCTATATATGCAGGCCACATATATATCTTTTCATTTTTCTTTAAAAAATTATTATTCATTTATTTTTAATTGATAAACAAAGGTGTATGTGTTTGTGGTATACCACATGATGTATTGAAATATGTATATTTCCTGTGTGTACATTATATATTGTGAGATGGAATCACACTTATCACAAATCAGACTTATCACAGGCAAACTATTCTTGTTTTGTAGTGAGGAAATTTGAAATCTACTTCTTTTAAGTCTTTGAAGTGTCCTATTTTAGAATGTAGAGATGGTGATACTAATTTTAACAATACATTTTATTTAAAATAACAGCTACAATATCAATTCCATATGTAATCAATATAAAAATTATCAATGAGATATTTCACTTTGTTTGAGCATGAAGTTTGCAGTTTGATAGTCTTTCACACTAGAACACACCTCATCTCAGACTGGCCACATTTCAGGTGGTATAGCGCCACACATGACCACAGCCTCAGGTGCTGGACAGTACAGCTCCGAGAACTGGTTTGGGGCCGTCCAGGCAGCTACACAGTTGGCCAAGCCCAAGAGCTCTTCTCTCCACTTGTGTTGAAGAGGGTTTCCTGGGAGGGATGCAGCTGTGACTGAGTTTCAAAGTCAATAAGCAAGGAGTGGACCTGAGAGGCGGAGAGGTGGAGAGCATGGCCTGCCTCCTTGGGACACTTCTGTGAGGCAGGAAGCCCTTATTGCTTCTGCATTGTGGATCCAAGCCCATCTCCCACCTGAGGGTTTGCACAACTGATCTGCACTTGTTTGTAGTATGTAGTTGTTCACTAATTCTCTCCCTACCCAGATGCATGCAGACCTACTTGGGAGCCATCCATTTAGCTCCTGATTCCTGGTTTAGCTCCTCATTGTTTCGCTGTATGGGTTCTGCTCTCCCAGTTTGTGCCTCAAGCTCTACCTGCATCAAATGGTGTTAATAATGTGCATTTTATACACATCTGGCTCCAAGGTAGAGAGCAGACAACTGAGCATTCACAGGTGTGCAGAGTGGTTGCAGCAATGATGAATAAGGGGCATCAATATAAAATGTTTAATTATTTATTCATTTGCTTTTTTCCAATCCATACACTACCTTGAAAAGGTCTCTGGCATGAGGTCTTTGGGACACTCATTGAAATAGCCTCCCACGTAATCTGTGGTGTTCTCATTCCACATGCATCTGTTCTTTCCATGGAGATGCTCAAGTGTGAGCAGACAGAACTATCTGATAGAGAAGATGCTCTGATTCTAACACCAGCATCTCAGCCCTGCTGTGCAAGTATTTTGCTGTAACATCCAAGCTCTTTCCTTCCCTGTAATGGGAACAACCTGTGACCTTTAAGATGTCAGCCTCCTGGAAGAATAGTGTCTGTTACCTTCAAAAGCTGTGGTGTACCAAGCTTCTGCACAGAAACCTATAGCCATTACCTTTCTTAAAAATAGCATTTCATAAAGTTGACATGCTTTGTTTGTAACAATTACATCTTCCACCCAGCAGCTTAATTTTGTTTAATCACTTGTACAGGTCTTTTCACTGGAGGCTGCCACCAGCTTCTAGGAAAGAGCAACTAGATCTCAGATGAGGATCACAGAGATGCACAAAGGGTATGATTCCTACTGTGGAAAAAGGAACAGTTTGGGTCTTCATGTGTGGGAAATAGTACCCAATATTTTTTATTTCCTGAACTCTTGTGAACCTTCCTTTCACATACCTTTCCCTGCCCCACACAAATACCTTATTATCCCCATTAGTTTCCTCACTTGTTTCTTGCCTTAGAAGAGAGACCTGTGTCTGGCTGAGAGGAAGGACCTTTTGGCCTGGTCTTAGAATGTCGAATCTCTAGCTCCTGGAGGGAAGCCACTGGCTCAGGAGATGCCCTCTCTCTGACCTCCAAGGCACAGATACTGAGCTGCCTGAGGATTGGTCATCCTCCAAAGTATCTAGCACTGCAATTACAATCTGTAAGACATTGTTAGGAAACCTTCGTGCCCCCATGGAAGATCTGTTTGACTACACATGCAGGTGTCCAAGCACCTGTTCACTATGAATCACATCGCTCTCTTGGTTTATAATTGAAGAGCACATTTGTGTCCATTTATTTATTGCAGTTCTACAAGGTAAATATTCTCAGCTTCATTTCATACACAAGGTCACAGAAGTTATACGTAAATAAAGAAAAGAGACCTGGTTGCATAGTTATGCATGGCTGGGGGTTGCACTAGAATGAAAGACACCTCCTGGAAATTGAAAGGAGGCATTTGGTGCTGCATCAAAAAACAGTTGCCTTTGTAAGGTAGAAAGGGAGCATGGGGAGCCACATCCCACAGAACTGGAATCTGGATCTTTCCACTCAGAAGTAGTATATTTCCATTCTTATACATACCTGTGTGTTTAAACATGGCCATGTGTACAACGTGTGCATGCACACTTTATCCAAGAGTCTGAGTGTATCAGTTGTCACTCAAGATGTCCATACAGAAAGCTCTGTGTTGGAGGCCATGCCTGGCCCCATGAACCATATCCAGTTGGCTCATTAAGCCTCTTGAGTTGTGTATCCAAGATCTGTCCTTAGATCTCTAGGGGAGTCTTGGTGGAGACCCCTTCAGGCTATGAAGATTTGGGGTGAAAATGGACATGGTCTGAGCTTTCCAAATGCTAAGGGTGTGAAGAAGGTGAACATCGCCTCTGCCCAGTATATATCACTACAATGAGGACACCTAGTTGGCAGTTGTGGAAGGCCACTCTAAGACTAGGGAGAAAAGAGTTCACTTCATCTTGGCATAGGGGGTAATCCCCTGAGGAGGACCATCTGCTGAGGCCGTAAGTGGATAAGGAGAAATAAGATAAATGATGAGACAGGACTCAGGCCCCAGAGGGCAACACTATAGCTAGAGAGTTTAAGATTTTTATCCCCTTATGCTTTGCTTTTAGATTGTGGTATTAAAAATTGCTTCTGGCTTCTCATCTGCTTGTCTCTTAGACCTCAAGAGCATTTGGGGTTCCCAGGACTGATTTGGTGGATTGTACTAATGGGCTAGAACATGACCTCAGCACTCCCATCCACTGGAAAAAAGCTGGTTGATGGAAACGGGAGTCCTGGGAACAGACATTGGCTCTTGACAACCAGGTGCTTCAATTATCCTCACAAGATCCTGGAAGGCATCCCTAGAGCAGAGAACATGCACCATTATTTTCTGACACAGCTGGAAACGAAAACTTGAACACATTAAGTGGAAGGATGCACTGGTAACCCACATCTGGGGCCACCCATGCAGTGGCAACCAGAGGAGGAAATACAGCAATGGCCACTGGACAGGGGGCCCAACACTTTGTATCACTAGCTCACTAGAATCTCCACACACAGCAGCTATCCTGGGGCCCTCAGGCCCGGAGTATGCATTTCTACTCCCAGGGTGACCATGCTGTGCAGGTGAGCTGAGAGAAAAGCTGGGACTAATGAAATTTTTCAGAGACAAGGAGACAAGGACCCTGTACCACCCCCTTACACCCTTATACACACCATACACACACACACACGCACTCTTGACACCTCATTTACCTGGCACTAAATTCACTGTCTTCAGAACAAAATAGTCTTGTTTAATATCGTTTCAACCAAGGCAGAAACAGTTGTGAGGTTTAAACCTGAGCCCCTGTTCTGCTTTCTCACTGGTGTTTCTATGAACACATAGGTGCCTACCAGGACTTGTTTAACCCAGATAACCAGCACTTGGCACCATGTAAACATAAACTGTTGGAGGGGCACTGCTGGCCCTAGAAAAGCCTGAGAAACACACTCCTTACACAGGATGTCACCAAGCTGTCATGTGTCTTCCTCAGGCTCATTCCTGTTACTCTCAAGAAGAAAAGGAAGGAATATGGGGGGAAGAGGAGAGAAAGACAGACATGGAGAGAAAGGCAAACAAAGAGACAGAGAGAAACACAGAGAGAGACAGATAGAGCTAGATGATGGAGGGTGGGCAGTGGCAGACAGAGCAAGAGAAGGGGGAGAGAGAGAGACGTGGGGGCGTCGGGAAGCTTCATTCCCTCCACCTTCTCCAAGTGACACCCCCCCCCTCAAGTGTCCAGGTTGCAGCCAACAGGAAGGAACATGGATTCTGTCTTCTGCCTTCCCCTAGAGCAGTGGTGGTGAACCTATGGCACACGTACCACAACTGGCTGTTTGTTATCATGGAAAGCTCTAAAAGGTTCGCCACCACTGCCCTGGAGTGTTGTGAATGTCTTCTCTGAGGTGGAGCTGCAGATTCTGGAGCTGTATTACCTGAGGTTGCTTCCAGGCAGTGCTATCACTTCCTGCCTCTGTGACCTTGGGCAACTTTATCATGTCTCTAGGCCCAGCTGTCTTACCTGTGAAGTGGAGCTGGAGACGGAACACACCTGGTGGGCTTTCCATGCTGACAGAGCTGATCCCTGGAGTCCTCAGCACACTGCTTAGCCCATAGTACAGGCCATGGAAGGGACATGACTAGTAAGTGCATAGCCCTCTGTGTCATAGCACCTTGCCCTACCAGACCAGCACCCAAACATGACCAGCACTTCCTTCTCTTACTACCCAGGTCCAGAGCCCTGGTCCAGAGCACTCAAACCGGATTCCTGTTTCATGTATTTGAAGAGCCATGGTAGGTTCTTTGGAGCCTTTGGCAAAATACCCAAAGAAATCCTTGGCCAGTACAATACTTGTCTCAGCCTCAGTTTCCCTGGGGCTCCTGTGCTGTATCCCTCCCACCTGACTCTTCTCTGTTCTTGTCATTCTGTGATTCTTGACAAATCACTTAGTTTGATCTCATCCACCCCAGTGTACAGCAATTTCTCTCCATTTTCTTGCATTTTTGTCTGTTTGACCTGGCCTGAATGTGCCTTTCTCTAGGAGGTGAAGGTCCCTGTCCCCTGAAGATCCATGAACTTGCTGCTCCAACAACTTCCTGGCCTCAGTCTTAGCCTCTGTTCTGCCACAGTGGCCTACCTCCTCCCCATTGTGAGAACAAAACCATCAGAAATACACACAGCAAGGCGCAAAGATAGGCCATTAGCAGAAGTGGTGCAGGATTTATTCTGAGGCATCCTTGTCCCTTTAGGATGCTCTGAGAAGGCTGGGCAGCAGACGTTCACTGTTTTCTCCCTGTTCTTAATAAAATTTCCCATTAATTAAGCAGAGCAGCGTGGGCTGCAGCCCTGGCCACATTATTTATCTTTTTATTTTGTAGTTACAAGGCAAGATCTTTAGTGCAGGAGCCCTGGAATTATACACTGGGCCCTAATATTTCAAGACCCAACAGGAACAAATATGCAATTATATAGTTCAGTGGTGCAGCACTACAGTAGTGCAGAGAGGATGAGAGGAGCCCCTGCAGCTCTTGGAAAATCCCCTAGGAGGGAAAACTCCAGGTCCTGCACTCGACTCCCTTCCAAGCCAGGGACTCTGGCCTGGCCTTGTCACCAGTCTGAACCTCTTCCTAAAGAGATCTTCCCAGAGCCCCCAGGACCAGGGCTCCAGGGAGCAGCAGAACCCGCCCCCATGTTCCCTCAGTCTCCCAGTGAGTCTCCTCTGGGTCCCACAGGCAGGAAGGAGGCAGGGCCGAGGAGTAGGAAAGTATCTGGTTCCTTTGTGTGATGCTGGGGATCTGCATCCTTTCAGAACCAGGGCTAAATGAAGATGGCTCGCACACTCACCTCAGGGCCAGTTCAGAGGATAAAATGAGATCATCCAAATAAAAAGGTGCTTTGGCGGTGATGTTCCCCACTCATTTGACAGATGAGGAAATGAGGGCTAAGAGAGGTTAGGGGACTTGCTTAGTACTCACATCTAGAAAGTGGTGTTCATCACCATGCCAGTCAACCCTGTGTCCAGTTCCCTGAGCTTCATGGTATGGAATCGCAAAGTCGTTAGGTGGCACACCTGTTCAAAGTGGCCCCAGAATAATGTCTGGGAAGAGCTATGGTTTGTGCCCTGCTCTGTTCACAAAAATGACCTTCTTAAGATACTTTGTTGAAGTCATGGGATTCCTCTTCTCTCCTGTGGCGCTTGGAACACAGGCAGCACCTGGGAGCACAGTGAAAGCAGGAAAGCAGAGCCCTTCAGAAGAACAAGCCACTTCAGAGGGCTATGACAGAGCCGTGTGTGTGTGTGTGTGTGTGTGTGTGTGTGTGTGTGTGAGAGAGAGAGAGAGAGAGAGAGAGAGAGAGAGAGAGAATGTGTGTGAAAGAGTTTGACTTTGCATAAGCTTTTGCATATGTGTGAGTGGCAATGTATGAGTGGGAATGGGCAAATGTGTGTAAGCACAGGTGAGTGTGTGTATATGAGTGTGTGAATGTATGCGCTTCTGTGAGTGTGTAGTTTGTATTACAGAGTGCTCTGTGTGTCTATGTGAATTTGTGTGAGGGTGTGTTTGTGAGTATTGTGTGTATCTATGTGAGTATATGAACGTTGTGTGTGTGAGTGTGCATGTGTGTGTGTTGCAAGAAAGTGACTGAGGAGCCCAGGAAGGAATCACAAAGCAGAGGTTTCCATGGTAGCTGAGATACCCGCTGGTCCTTAAATAATTAACTAGCCAGAGCTTTTAAATACATTTCAAAACAAATACTCATTTCCCTGTAATGTGGTACTGATTCCCTTTTTACGCGCTGCTCAAGGCTACACAAGCCTGACTGTAATTCTTCCCCTGATGGTGGCAGCCTCTGAGGTTGTCAAGGAAGCAGCTCTTGGTGGGGGGTGTCAGCCTGTGGTATCACCTCCACTTTGTATGGAGGAAGGAGACGGTGGAGCAGTAAGTCTTCTTCTACTCCTCTTCTGAATATGGTATGAGGGCCATCTAGGGGCCCACGCATTGCTAACTGCCCAAAAGCCAGCTTCCCCTGGGTAGTTTCTGAGCATATCCCTTCCAAAAGAGAAGTTGCCTTTCTGATTATTTGTCTTCTGTGAAAGCTTACCCTGATGCAGTGTCACCTGCCAAAGTGGATTCTTTGCCACACTTAAGATGGAAATCGTATGTGGGCCAGCTTTAAGATTAAAATTAAATTTTTTAAAAAAGTTTATCATGGGAAAGAAACACAGCTGGGTAGTCCATAGACAGAGCCTCAGAAAGGATGGCCAAGCTGGCTGCTCCATGGTCACCGCAGCTCTCCATTTTACTTGTATGGGGTCCTCATGCATCCTGCATCCTTACCTCAGGGAGTGCATTGGTTTGCTCCCTTGGTTAACTGTGTTTTCTTTCTCCCTTTTATCATCAGAAGTGTAGGTACCTGATTATTTCCTACCAGGCGGCTACTTCAAAAGACCTATTAGCCCCCTACCTCAGGTGTATACTTGGACTCTGGAGTCAGATAATCTGGGTCAGATCTGTCTCTACAGTTTGTTGGCTATTTGAAGTTGAGCAAGTGGCTTAACCTATTCTAAAGTCCTGCTAACTCCTTGCCTCAGGGGGAGTGAGCTTTGCCCCCCCCCCATTCCCACCCTACTCACATTAGGTGTTAGGGAATCTTTTTAGCCTACATAATCTCTGCCTTAAATCTGTGGCCTCTATTTGCCATCACAGGAGGAATCAGCTGGCTTGGAAGTTCATGGTGCCATTTTCCATCCTTTGTGTTCATCAGATCTTCTTACTAGTATCCTGCAGAGCTTGGTGTCTGTGTGTGTTTTGGGTGAGGTGGGGACAGAGGCACTTGGAGTTCTTAGTGGTCTGGGGCAGATGGCTCACCTTTGGGTTAAATGTAATTTGAGTCAGCCAGGGACATGGGGGGAATCAAGAAACCACAGCATGGGTGGAGTGGCTGATGAGCCCATGCCTTCCTCACTAGGGAGGCTGGCCCAGTGTGGGGCCACCTCTTGTATGACAGGTGGATCATCATCTCTGCCATGTCCCATCACCATCCCAGCAGGAATGGGTCATGGGAGCAGTGGTGGTGTTTCTCTATTGCATGTCAATCAAGATAATGAAAATGATGCAGCCAGTGTTTGCTGAATACTCACTAGGTGAAAAGCTCTGGGTTAGGTGCTTTACCTGCATTTCCTCAGTAATAGTCACATTGATAGTATGACTAGCCCCATGGGACAGAGAGGGGAGCAGGTCCAAAGAGGTGACCTAACTCTCCTGTAATCACCAAAGGCCTGTGGAGGAGTCAGGATTTGAAATAGAACGTGGCCAGTATGTTCAGTCACAGTGCTTGCCCATGTGAGCAGACTCCCAGCTTGGAGAGAAGGAGCCCAATCCAGGCCTTCAGAAATCTGAGAGGATAAGGATGAGGACTGAATGTCTCCACAGGAAGGACCATGAGCCTCAGGCATGGGACAGCACAGAGCTGACAGTCACAGGACACAGCAGGAGTAGATTGAGGAGGCTGGCTGGAGGGTAAACCAACAGCAGAACAAGCAGGGAGGCCTCAGACGCTGGGAGTGCTTCACAGCAAGGACACTGACGGGTTCCCTGAGTGGCTGTTCTTCCAATCCAAGTATGAGGAGTGGGCAGTTGCTGGCCATCCAATCAGTCCAATTGCTATGGTCGTACAGGTTGCCCTGACCTCTCTAGGAGGGGTTGGAGAGGGAGAAATAGAGAAGGTGAGGAGAAGCAACTGCCTACTCCTCATACTAAATACAGAAAGAGGAGAGAGGGAGAGAGATAGATAGATAGATAGATAGAGAGAGAGAGAGAGAGAGAGAGAGAGAGAGAGAGAGAGAAAGAGAAAGAGTTCTGGCAGCTTCTCCTTACCTTCTCCAACACCTCATAGACAGGTCAGGGCAGCTACAGGCCCATAGCAATTGGACTGACTGGATGACCAGCAACTACCTCAGGCCCAGGACAGCACAGAGTGACAGTTACCTGGCACAGCAAGAGTCGATCACCATGCACTGGTGAGAGAAGGGAGGCAAACCCAGGAAAAGAAAACAAACTTGATGACCACTCCAAATGGGAGCGATGGTCGTGTAGAGGGCCCCAGTGGAAGTCACCTTCCAATCTCAGCCCCAGACTGAGGCGCTTATAGGCTTAATGTGTGATTCAGTAGGGTTTTATGGTGGAGTAAGGAAAATGACAAAGATTCCAGCAGGGGGTGGGGAACAGAGTCATAGGCTAGATATCATCACGTAGTGTATATAACAGCAAACACTGGAAAAATCACAAATAGGAACATGTAGAGTAATGGGATTTATGAAAACTTCTGGTCAATTTTTCAAAACATTTTACTATGGAAAAGTTTCAAGGATATACAAAAGCAAGATGAATCCTATCAATTTCTCCAACTTTTAATTTTGAGATAATTATAGACTGACATAAAGCTGTAAGAAACAACACAGAAAAACCCCTTGTACCCTTCATCCAGTTTCTCCCAATGTTAACAGCCTCAAAAGTTATGTAATGATATTGAAATTAGGAAATTAACATGATGCACCCCATAAACTTACTCAAAATTCACTGGTTTTATGTTAACTCATTTCTTCCTGTGTTTTTAGTTCTGTGAAGTTATAGTATGTATTATTCTACATGTTTAGATTTATGTGATCAGCACCAGAATTGAGATATAGAACTGTTCTATCTACCTGCTATCCTGTTACAGTCACAGCTACCTCCCTCCTCTTCTCTAACCCCTGGAGACCACTTACCTATTACTAATCTTTATAATTAGCTCATATTGAGAATGTTATATGAATTAATATGTTAATGTGGCATATAAATATATATGCTATGGAAATACACCAATATGTAAGTACAGTGATATGTAAATCAATATCTGATAAAGCAAACTTCAGTGCAAATAAAATTCTCGAGACAGAGGGACATTAGATAGTCATAAAAGGATCAGTCCACCAGAAAGTCACAAAATCTTAAATCTGTACATTTCAAACAACATAATCTCACAATCTATGAAGCAAAAACTTGAAAAAGGCAAAACAGACAATCTTACAATTATAGCTGGGTACTTTACCACCTCACTTTAAGTAATTGATAGAACCTACTAAATGGGATAATCAGAAAGGGTATGGAAGTAATGACCAGCGTGGCCATTCAACAAGGTCTAATTGGCATATGTAGACCATTATCCAACAGTAGAACATAATTTTTTAGTGTCCATGTAACATTCAATAAGACAGATTAAATCCTGGGACAAAAAAATTAAATTTGAGGGTTGGGGATTTAGCTCAGTGGTTCTGCCGCCTGCCTCGCAAGTGCAAGGTCCAGAGTTTGATCCCCGGTACCAAAAAAAAAAATATGTATACAAACTAAAAACACAGTACAATATCACTACACACCTATCAGGATGATTAAAATTAAAATATTTTAAATGGTGACTACTTTGTTACATTATATTATATTAAATGCTGAAAATAAGGCAAATAAACTGGATCACTCACACATTGCTGGTGGAAATGTAAAGTGGCCATTTGGAAGTTAATTTGGTGGTTTCTTACAAAGCTAAATATCCACTTATCATATGATTCATAAAGTATACTCTTGGGCCTTTATCCTGCCAAAAGCAAAACTTATGTTCATGCAAACACCTGTGCATAAGTGTTCATAGCAGCTTTCTTCCTAATTGTCAAAAACTGGAAGCAACTCAAATTTTTTTCAGTGGATGAATGGTTAAACAAATTTTGTATATCCCTATCATGGAATACTAGGCAGCAATAAAAAGGAACTTCCTAATGATATACGTAATGGCTTGGATCTCAAAGACAGTAAAACCAATCTCAAAAAACTATGTGGTGTATCATTCCATTTGTAGAAAATTCCAACTATTGTTTAAGATAAAACGTTGCTGCAAGTGTGCCAACTCTCATGTCCAGCTTTCTATAGGGACCCTGGTTCTAAACCAGATGGAATCCACTGTTCTGGCACCTGGCTTGCCATTCTGCATCCTTCCATTATTATTTAGGGGATGTGGTTCTGGATCAAAGCCAATATAGCTCAAGCAATTATGAAACAAATTCCAGTGTCACAGAGTGTGAGAAGGAAGAAACCTTAGAGATCATCTAGTTCAGCAGTTCACACCCCTGGCTGAATAACAGGATCACCTAGGAACATTAAAGTAGACTGATGTCTGCTCCTTCCAAGAGGTTCTGCTTTAATTGGGTGGAGAAGACATCCACACCTCACCATTTTTTCAAAGCTCCCCAAGTGATTCCAGAGTGCAGCCAGGTTTGAGCACCACTGACAAATCCAAGTTCTTCATTTTACAGATGAGGAAACCTTAGGCCCCTAGAGATAAAATAAATAACCTGTAGAAGGTCACATGGCTGGATCATATTTGAACAGTCTCATAAATCCTAGGACCTTTTCCCCTGTGTAGATGATGTTTGCACATATGTTATCACATTTATCCTCCTTGTAAACCCT